TATCAGAGCTAACTCAAATCAAATAAGAAAAATAAATATTATTACTGAAAGAAAATAGATGGTTACAATCAAATACACTTGAAAGAGAAATTGCATCAAACACGACATAAACTCACACTAGGGTTCGATCCATGGTTGTCGTAGGTCGGCTAGGTGGTCAGGGAGCAGAGGTAATGGATGAAATGGGTTGGGGGTGATTGCTGCCAACAAAGGGAGAGATTGGAATTATGCTGGCTGCGAAGTGGAGGGCTGGGAAAATGAGGAGTAGCAAAGGGGAAAAGTTGTGAACTGCAGGACAACAAGAGGAGTGTTGTTTGGTGCGGAGATAGCAAATGGGGACTATATGGACAACATCATAAACTGCAGTCCAAGTGACAACAAGTCAGAATGATGGTTGGACTGTAGGAAACGACTATCGGTGATTGGTAGTGATGCGGGAAGGTTGGGGATGGGTCGAGGTAGTTGTTTGGGATGTCAGCGAGTTGTGGAAGGGAGGGGGCTGCTGGAAATGGGGAACCTGCAGGAAAAAAAAAACAATAGCTGCTGTCCTGGGTGGCTGTAGCAGGGAACAAAATGGGAGGGATGTGAAAGGGGATATAGAAGATAATCACCACATTGGGAAAGAGATAGCCGGAGCACCATTTTATCTCGTGATACAACCCTCGAAGGGGGAAACTTACACCGACAGTTATCTTGAATAGAAACACGATAAAATGTGATTTCAAACCCTAATACATGTATATAGGAAAATATTAAAAATGAATGAAGGATAATAGAAAAGAAAACATAAGAAAGGAAAACAAGTCTACTTCGACCCTTCAACCGCAATAGTGAATCCCGCAATTTAGGGTCTGTTTATGGCAGCTTATGCGTTTCAGGATAAGCAGTTTATCCTGAAACGCGACCTGCGAGTCGACCCGCGGCCTGCGTTTAGTGTAAAAAACTCATTCGCGACAGACAACGTTTTCAAAAACGCGCAAACCAAACGGTTAGGCGGGGGTTTTTTTAAAGTGTCGCTACACTTATAAGTTGCCCCAAACGGGCCCTTAGTGGCAACTATAGTATAGTGGAAATGTTTTTGGGGAAGCTCCGGTGTCAGGACATCTCCACGAAGGCCCTTAATGGAGCTAGGACCACTTATTGTAACAAGCTAGGCATGATAAATATCTATGCTCCAGTTGAAGGGGGAGTATTATGGAAAGTAATAAATCTAATGGCTGTGTATTAAGAAGTTTGTAGAAAATGTATTTGTTATATTAGGTAACTTAATTAGAGATCTAATTGCATTATCATTCATCTATTATAGATATTACTAATTTATTGAGATTAGAGTGTTTATAAATATGTAACTTATGTTTTCAAATGAGGAATAAAAAAAAAGAAAGAGTTGTTTCCATTTACAATTTATTTGAGAACTATTTTTATGTTTGCTATAGACTGATTTGGGGGACTTTTGGCATTGGTTTATGCAATGCAGGCTGTTTTCTAGTTTCCTTTTGTCAGAGTGATGTATCATTGATTTTTCTCAGGTGGTGTGTGCCTCTAGCCTGATTGAATTGAAGTGGTGATTTCTCCAAGTCGCCCAAGTACTTACCCATGCTTCGTATTTGCTCCCTATTTGTTGTATTCGTCATTTAACTTCCTATCCAACTGCGAGTTGTGCTTGTTTTCAGTCGTCATTGCCATTTTTTTCTCCGTCTGTTTTCCTACTAATATTTGATGCATCGTTTGAGCCTCCCATACCATCTTGGAACGCTAGATTGATGTTAGTGTGTGTGTGTTCTTTTGAGTTTTCATAATGTGGTGCAAGTAGTTTGACTTGTCCATTCTTCTATTTGTGTTAAGCTATGAGCTAGGTTTGTGTAACAGTCCGAACTTTCATCCATTGAGATATTATCTGCTTTGGCCTAGTGGCCTCACAGTTTTATTCCTTTGATGTAACTTCCCAAGAGGTTACCCATTCCAGGAGTGCTCTCACACTTCACACTTAAATTAGGAGTTTTTGATGAAATTTCAATGGTTATATCAAATGGTGCCTCAATGTTTAAAAGTTCAACTATGTTCTACTTAAAGGATTTTACAATCTCTGCCACATAAGTAATTGACGTCCTTTTCACTTTTATTAACCTAGAATTCAACACAAATCTAGAGCTCCTTGACGGTAGGAGGGAATACAAGAAAGAGATAGATAAGTTGTAGGAGGGGTAAGGAAAGCGATAGGAATGACAACAAATAAATTTCGGTGTGAATGGCTGCCATTTTTCTCTGTCAAACAGCTGTAGCAGCGAGCAAACAACGAAATGATGGGGTATGGGTGGTAAGTGGGATCCACCACTTGTTCTTGAGCAAGATATATATACACGTTTTGCAATAGAAAGATAATACAACACTCTAGATAGTATAAAATAGAGAATAAAATTTTCAAACACAATAATAATAATCAAAATTCCCCTAAAAATTGGAAATAACATGATATAAATAGTTTCCTCATAGAAAAAATATTATTAGAAATAGAGGAAAGGTAGATAAAAATAAAAAAAAAGAAAAAAAATGCAAAAAATGGAATTATACGACCCTCGGTTCCAATGCCACGGTCTTAAAGATTCAAAACCGCGCGAAACCTGCTACCCATTACTCCCGTGATCGCGAGAGCCTCATCACGCGGAACTCAAAATTGCGGAAATTCCACTATTGCTATCACAATATGCCCAATCTGCAATTTTGTGGGACGTTCCAACATCATTCTCCTCAGCTATGAGAAGTTTTTTTCTTATTTATTGGCTTATGGAATCGATCTACTGCCATCATAACAAAGTCATGATCGTGCTATGTTCAAGGCTACTTAACCACAAAATTTAATCTCACGCTCATCCCATGCAGCTCTGAAACATATACATCATTCTAAATTTTGCCTGATAGAATAAATAATCTTTTTTTGCACAGCCGGAGTTGAAACTTCAACGAGTCCTTTAGACTGAGCTTATGATAAAAGCACCACTATGATCAACATTGGTCATACTGGACGAGATTGACTCCAAGGAGCTGATATTGGACACATGACAACCTTAGTTAAGTGGATTTCATGATTGTCAGACCTATAATTTACCCAATAGATTGCTACTACTTAGGGAAATCTAGCATGTCATTATTTCATATGAGAAATTTTGGAGTGATTTTTGCCATGTTTGATAATTTAGTACCAAGTTCTTGTTTAGCTTAGCATCACATCATAGACAGATGATAAAATAGCGGGGGTGAACCTCTTTTTGGAAATCTCTTTAGGTGTTTTGTGGGAAAGAACAACCAACATTGGGATTCAGGTCATTCCAGAGAAGAAAAATAATACTCTTCTGGCCGGGGAGAATAACGTGGGGGTGTTGTTCCTAGGATTCCTCGATCCAATTTCTATGGGTTTCCACAATCTACGGGTTCCCGGGATCTCAGACTGCCTCGTAAGCGCAGTTCAGAATAGGGTGTCGCTGACTTTCAATTATTCACATTTCTTTATTCCTTTATGATTTTTTTTTTCATATTTTTCTATTTTTAATTAGGTTATTTTCTATGGGGGAACTATTTATATCTCTTTATTTTCTATTTTCCAGACTTCTAGCTTTGTTTGTGTATTTTGGAGATTGTATCTTTGAGTTTTGTCATAAGGAGTGTTGTATCATTTTTCTTTTACAATTGACGTGTCTGTAGCTTGTGCAGAAGCAGATGTTGAATCTCCTCGATATCCGTTTCATGTTGTTTCATGGTTCTCTTTGCTGTTTTCAACTAGGTCAGCCGCTATACCTTGTCTATTATCCTCCAAATATCATTGATCATCCATATTTTCATTTCCTTGCTTTTCCTCCACCCACCTCACCATCAAAACAACTTCCCAATCACCTTTTTGGAGCCCTAGAACGATATCAAAATCATTCACCAAACGGATAAGATGCAAGTGGTGGCCCCTACAGATTTAAGAGGTGGCTCCCATCATGTATTATTCTATCCCATATAGGGTTCAAGAACTAGCTCCCATGGCATAACACTTTGTTCTATATGGCACTTAGCTCCCATCTTCACATTGGTGTAATACTCTGATATAATTTGTAACAACGCGAACTCTTATCCATCGAGATATTGTCCACTTTGGCCTAATGACCTCACGATTTTGTCCCTTTGGTGTATCATCCTAGGAGCTCATCCGTCCAAATAGTGCTCCCACACACTTAACTTTGGAGTTTCTGATGAAACTCTAACCATTACACCCAAACGTGCCTGGATTTTTCTAAGTTTAGTTTCATTCTACTTAAAGGGGTTGACGGTTTCACGGGCATATACGTATTCCTTCTCCTGGATCAGAGATATTCTGTGGGTGGAAGTAACTGTGAATTAATGACAATACTGGAAACAGTGGCTTGTTTGTTTAGTACCTAGTTTTTAGGAGTTTTTAAAAACGCTGCAGCTTATTCTTTTTACCTCAGTGCCGTTTGATTCATCAGAAGTATTCTGCTTCTTGTAATTTTAAGTTTCCCGATGCAATGATAACTTTTGGATGTATTTTTGTGGTCAGCAAAATCGAAAAGGAAATTAGTAGAAATGGTAATATAATCCTTGCTGGATAGTTATAAATTTTATATCTCCCTTCTTGTGAAAAGTGTCAAAATGGTCCTTGACTCTCTTCGTAGGGGGTCATTTTAGGGCCAGAGTTTATAAAGTGACAATTTAGTTCTCAGGCTCTTTTAATATGAGTTGAAATAGTCCATAATGAGGTATATTTTAGCCTATTTTGAAACAGTTTGGGGACTAATCTAGCACTTGTATAAACTTTGGGACTAAAATGCCCCATCTAAATTGTCAGGGGACTGTTTTGACACCTTACTCCTTTTTCTATGCATTTTTTTAACAATCCACGCTGCATGGCATGTTGGAATGTTTTTTATCATGTTTTAGCTTTTTCACTTGGGGGCCCCAAACTATCGTCTCATGAATTCAATTTATTGTTTTCATTTCAGATAGTTGTCTGGTTAGTGATACCAGGTGCGAGACACTTGAATCCTCAGGAGAACAATAACACACTGGCTCTTATTGTTTTGATCCAGTACATTCCAAGGCTTTACCTCATCTTTCCTATGAGCCATCAAATCATAAAAACCACCGGTGTCGTTGCAAAGACTGCTTGGGCAGGGGCTGCATATAATCTTCTCCTTTATATGATTGCTAGCAATGTATGTAACATCAAAGCATTACAGATTTTGAGAAAAATGTGATATTGAGAAAAGTGTTGAAATGATCATCTAATTCTTTGTAAGGTGTCATTTTAGTCTCAGAGTTTATAGATGTGTCAATATAGTCTCATGACTCTTTTAGTTTGAGTTGAATTAGTCCCCTGTGAAGCTTACGCCTGCCCATATTAAAACACTCGGAGACTTATTTAACACTTTTATAGACTCTGGGACTAAAATTATTCCATATAAATAGTTAGGTTCTATTTTGACTTCACTTATATTGGAAATACATGGCAGTTAAAAAAATCTAATTTTTCTCGCACCTGAACAACCGGTGTAGTTTCATCAGTTAATTGCCATCCATGCAGGTTATTGGGGCTGTGTATTATCTGCTAACTATCGACCGGCAAACAACTTGCTGGAAATCAGAATGCAGGCTAGAGAACGGCGTTTCAGGATCTACTTGCTATATGAAGTATCTGGACTGTGACTTTACGAGTTCTGTTGATCCAACATGGGCCCGCAACACCAGTGTGTTTTCTGCTTGCAACGCTAGTGATGATTCTATAAATTTCAACTACGGCATATATCAAAATGCGTTGACAACCGGTGCAGTGTCCACAAGCTTTTTTAGGAAGTATTTTTATAGCCTTTGGTGGGGTTTGCAAAATTTAAGGTATGATATGACAATTTCAGTAAATGATCAGTTTAGTGCTTTGATTTGTTGGTGCGCCAATTTTAATATAAGGTTTTTATTGGTGTTTGATTTAAGCCCTCAACTCACAAAATATGAACTGATTTATTCTTTTTGTCGGCTTTTATCATCTGCTTTGGGAAAGAAATAGGAAAAATGAGGCTTTCCATGAGGGTATTTCAAATTTCTTGGGGTCAAAATAATATACATACATACATACGTACATACATATATATATATATATATATTAAGAAAAAGAGCTACTCATGACTCCGCTCATGGCTCCGTATGCGTTAATATCTAAAGGCAGTTACAAAATACTGGAGGGAAAGATGATCCCCACTAAAAATAAAGAAAATACATGTAGTCCTAGGGGTTCCTCCTTCCACATTACTTCACCCAAAAAAGAAAAAAAGAAAGAAAAGATGAAACAAAGGTAAATGTAAACCAAAAGTACATGTATCCAACTAAAACGTATACCCAAAAAGAGAAGTATAACCCTTATGAACATGTATAAAAAATGAAACAAAGGTAGCGCAAGTTTCAAGCAAAAAACAGACGTCTTGAAAGCTGGAAAGAGCACCAACGAGCAAGTCCCAAAATTTAAAAACCTGCAGCTCAAAAACTGTGAAAACACCAAACAAGTAAGAAAACAAGTGAGCAATAAAGATAGATAATGCTCCACGATCTTCCAACCCCCTTCCAGAAATGCATATAACAAATAAGGAGTCACGGTCCAGTCCAAAAGAAAGAGTGAAAGCCTCGTATAAATTTGAAGCCATGAGCCTCCATGTCGAAAATAACAAGCCCATTCACAGAAAAAAAGGTAGAGCTGGAGCAGTGAGGTTAACCTCCAATATCCAATCTCACCAGTATTCCCAGAAAGATTACTGCAATAAATCCCATAAGCCATATCTTCACAAAAAAACCCCCAAGCCAAAACCCGACGCAAGACCCATCTGCAAGGCCACCAAAGTGTATTAGAGTAAACCTGCCCAATCGTAGCCAAAGTAAGGAGCCCTGTGCCTCCATGCTAGTATTATAAAACCATCCACCATATGAAACACAAGTAGATGTCGCCTGCTCCACAGAAAAGCAGGCAACCAAAGCACCCAGAGATATATAAAAAGGAAAAAAAAAACAGCTCAAAAAAGAGCCTGGGCCGAAACAAACTACCCAGCAAAAGAAAATAAGCTAAGAGGAACCATCCCTACGAATATAAGGAGCATCGATGTTGTCACCAACCAACAAAGTGTGTAAAGAGGGGGGCGGGGAGTAGATCCCACCCTACAAATATCAGTGGAGCTACCTAAATTGGCAAGCCAATTAGCGTGTTGGTTCCCCTCCTGGTAATTGAAACTCCACATGACATTCATATTGGAGATTAAACATTTAATCCTCTTTATATAATAAAGGATATCCCAAGGGGCCTCAACATCATTTGCCAAAATATCAATCAAGATGCGATTATGACATTCAAAAATAATAAAATGTCAGCTGAGAACGTGAGTCATAATAGTAGCAGTTAAAATGACCATAGTCTCAGTCTCTATGGGAGTATCAACATGTAAAGAAGATGAGAAGAAAAGAATACAGTTCCTTGCATAGTTTCTAGCAATGCCTCCACAACCAGCACTGTTGGCCTTCCAACTTCTATCCGTGTTAAATTTAATCCACACCCTAGGAGGTGGCCGCCATCTAACCAAAATCGGTGGATGAGCGAGCCTCCTCTCATCCAAATCCGTATGCCCCATAGAAAGAAAATAATTGATGCCCGAAAAGAAACTTTTTTTAAAGCTCCCCATTATCCATAACTTATTAATGCAAGCAATAATATTAGTAAAGACCATACTCTGAATGACCTTACCTTCATGAATAATGTCATTACGAGCCATCCAGATAAACCAACATATGATGTACAGATAAACCAACATATATTCCAACATATGATGTAAGGGTAAATTTGCAAAAAATGTTTCTGCTTGCGGTCCAGATTGTAAATCATGGTAGTGAGCAAAAGATTCCTCTCATGAGTGACGATAAATAGTGAAAATGGACGAGAGAAGAAAATTTGCTCTATAGTCTCATCCACCGAATTACACAAACAACAACGAGAGGCTATTTTCAAAACTTTCAACTTTAATATATCATCACATGGTATTATAGAATGAAAAATGCGCTACGTCAGGAAAGACATAGAGAGAGTTAATGCCCAACTTCACACCCCTTCACCCCAAGGGAATTTTTGAAAACTATGTAAAAAGACATATAAGATTTAGTAATGGAGCTAGTCTTGAGAAATTTCAAAGTAGTATCTTGCAAATGAGGGTCAAAAGGAATAATAGAGAGCTAGTCTTGAGAAATTTCAAAGTAGGAGTATCTTGCAAATGAGGGTCAAAAGGAATAATAGAAATGAACGTAGCTCACTCCATCCCCAAAATGCTAGTGAGAAGTGAAAAATTTCAGTGGCCGTCTACCCAAGTATTCGACACCTTGAGACTAGAATATCTCTTATCCCTCATATCAAACAAAACATGGGAGCATCAATCACGTCAGAAAGAAATATTTCCAGTACCCACCTCCCAGTAAATGAAATTCTTCGCCCAGTCTCTAATATGAAGCAATCTTTTCCACATCGTGGAATTACCTAATCGCCAATTAATCAAAGCAGGATATACACATATTTATATATATGTCCACACACACACACACACACACACACACACAGACAGACAGAGACATGCACAGACAGACATGCATGCATGCATGCATGTAGGTATATATATACGTGTGTACGCGCACGCGCGCGTCTTAGTCTGACTCATTGGTTTCCGTCTTTAGTGTTAGTCCCTCGGGTCGGGGGTTCGATCCCTGCGTAGAATCGAATTGCACACTATTTGTGTATATATATATATACACACACACAAATACACACACACACATGCACGATGGTTCCGTCTCCATCTCTGCTAGGTTCGGCGACGAGGGTGATCGATCGTCATGGCTCCCCCCGCTGCTACCCCGCCGGCCGGGGGCGTTGACGGCCGACGGCTTTGGTAACACTGGTAAAAGGCTTCGTTCTTACGCTAGTGTGACCGCTGATGGTGTTCCAAACTTCCCTTCTGCTTTCTACGACAATCTCGCGCTCGAATCCGATACTTCTTTCTTTCGATGTCCTGGCCTGAAAGGGGGAAAGCTTGCTCTCTTTCTCTTTGACGCCGAGAACGGCGAACTCGCCTCTTCCTGCCGACTTCATCTGGTAGGGTTCCTGTATGGGCATCCTAAAATGGTGTTTCCTTGAAAACACTTTGAACTGATGAGGCTTACGGGAGACTGGAAGATAGGTCCCTTAGATGGAAGACACATTTTAATTCAACTGTCCAATGAAGAGGACTATGCGCGCCTGTTTGCGAAACGTTTGGTGTGGTTTGAGGACTGCGGTATGAAGGTCTTAAAATGGTCAGCAAATTTTGATCCTAAAGCAGAGGCTCCTATTATTCCAGTCTGACTTAGGTTCCCTTCTTTCAAGGTTCATCTCTTCAATCACGAAATCCTCTTCTCATTAGCTGCTATGTTCAGGAGACCCCTAAAATTAGATGCTCTCACCTATAATCTCACAAGATCTTCTATGACTAGAGTTTTAATTGAAAGGGATGTGACTTTACCTCCACCTGATGAGGTTTGGATTTGGTCGGATCACATTGGTTACTGACAACAGGTATTATTAGAACAACACCCCTACTATTGTACACATTGCCGAATGTTTGGCCACGATCAGGATCAATGTTTCAAGTTACATCCGGAACTGAGGAAAGGGGATGGTAGGAAACAGCCGCACGTGGAGCAAGCTTCTATGCTCCCTGAAAATGCTGCAGCTGTTCAAGCAAAACCTTTAGCAGCCGTGTCCCACCCCACTATCATCCTTTCGGCTCCTGCCGAGGGTAGAACTGAGCAGGTGTTATCTGACTCGAATCCTCCGGATATCTCTAATAATGAGGGAGCTAGATTTTCTTCTGCCTCTCTCCCAGTTACTTCGAATGCTGATAAAAATCTAGATCTTACCCCCCCCTAATGCTATTGCCTCGATTGAGATAACGAGGCAGGTGTTACCTGCTCCAGACCCTCCTATCATCTCTAATACTGAGGAGGCTCGTCCTTCTTTTGCTTTTCTCCTTAACGCTTTGAATATGAATAATAATTCTATTTATTCTCATCATTCTGATGCTCTCACTGACATTCCTTTGGAAGATATTTCAAAAGTTTTAAGAGATGAATGACATGTTCAAAAGTATCGTAGAAGGAAGAATAGAGCTCAAAAGGAGGTGTAAAATCACTCTAACGGGACTTCTAATGCTATGTTGGAGATGAATCAATACTATTCAGATGGAGAAAATGGACAGACCCGACCTAGATCTTCTAGGAAGGGTAATATGTCTACTAATGTTTAATGTCCTTATTTGGAATATCATGGGAGCTGCGGATCCTCACTCCCTTGGTAGACTCAAATTAATGACAAGGATTCATAAGGTTGATATATTTGCTATTTTGGAACCCTTGTTCTCCTCTCCAGATGATTGTATCTTGGATAAATTCAAAAATTTCTCTTTTTTTGCTGATTGTTCTAAAAAAATTTTATTGTTTTGGCGGAAGCATATTATAGTTGATGTCATCACTGATGATAGACAGTTTGTGCATACTCTCTTCTCTATGGATGTTTTCTCTGGATATCTTACTTTTGTCTACGCCGGGACTTCTAATGCTGCTAGATTTGATCTCTGGCACAAACTTTAAGAGATGGGCACTTCAATCCATCAAAATTGGATGGTTGGAGGGGATTTTAATATGGTGATGCATGAATCTGAAAAGTTAGGTGGTCGAAGATTTGACACTACTTTAACAGATAAATTTAATGAAACTTTGGCTATAGTGGGCATTTCTGACTTGGGATTTATTGGTTCTAAATTTACTTGGAAAAGGGGCAA